TGGTCACATATGAACTCATGTATGAAAATCAAAATCATGAAAATTAATTTAGAAGTGTGTAACAGTATTTAGCAGGCATTATATCTTTAAAATGTAGCCAATCCTACTGTCTGTTCTAGTCACTCCTTCATACCTGGAGTGCTAGGTCCAGGACTGGGCTCCCCATTACACAGAAAGAGATGGACTTAGGTGGGGGAGCCCAGAAAAGGGATAGTACTATCTCTCACATGAGAAGAGGCTAAAAGAACTGGGAATGTTTAGTCTGGAACAGAAAAGCCTAGATGGTTTCTCATCATTTTTTTAAGTACCTGATGGGAGAGAGTAAAGAAAATGAAGTCAGACTCTTCTCAGTGAAGCCTAGTAAGAGGAAAGAGATGATATCCAAATTTGAAACATGGGAAATTTCATCTGAACATGAGAAAACACTTTTTTTATTACTATGAGGGTGGTAAAACACTAGAGAAAGTTGCCAGGAGGTGCTAATCAGCCTCAGCTACTGCTACTCTGTGAGCACATGGCTGTAACCCCTCCAGTGACTCCACACCACAAACACAGGCAATTTTACTGGCTACTACCCTGAATTCTTAGGGCATGTTCTACCACCCTCTCAGCTTTAGACCCAGTAAACAAGACTGACCACTCCTCTGTCTTAAGTAAATTATCAAGCTGCACATATTACACAGGAAGACGCTTGAGAGGTCTATAACAGATACCAGCTAAGACAAAGATCAACAAGTTTACAGGTCAAAGTAAACAGTTTGCTCCCCCATAACATTTTTAGTCTAAGTAGTTACAAGATGTTCAAGCTCTTATTCACAAAGAAATTTTAATCGTGCCAGTTTTAAAACATGGCTCAGATGGCTGGCAAAAGAGATTAAAATCCAAATTGATTTTTCACTCAACATGAGAACAAAACTAAAGGTCACTGCCATGCCTGCTCCCCCAAACTGAAAGGAATTCATCCACAACTAATATCACAAATGGGAAAGGCTACATTCACAGATAAAAATGCAAGGAATTTAGTCTCACTCCACTAAAGCAGGCAGGTTATGCAGAACAGCCTACCAAAACGAATCTGAGCATTCAGGCTTCTTGTCCAGCTGTATGAGTTCCCTGTTTATATCAATACCCTTTTCAAGAAAACAAAAACCAAAACCTCATCTTCATGAGGGCTTTATCTACTGTACTAAATTACTACAAAACAAGATTTACAAACAAACTTTGAATACATCAAATTAAAATTTGTACCTTTCTCCTGGATATCAATTGAAACACTGAGACAGAAACTGCCTTAAGAAAATGTTGAGGGAAAGAATATACCCAATGACATCACTGGACAGCTTCTGTCCCTAAAACAGTATGCCTTTTTCCACACCAGATTCACAGTCTTGGTGTTTCTTATGGACCCAGACAACTTAAGTCCTTCCTCTCATTCCAAACTGGAGGAAGAACCGCCCTTCCCATTTTATAAGGGCACCATACTAACACTAAGGCATATTATTTTAGATAATAGCCAAATGCACATAACACTGATTTATGATATAAGACTGTAAGGTTCAAATCTATACCTTCTCCTCCTAAGCAGGCCATTTGATGGTCATGCTCTTGCTTACTGGAAGAACACTCTTGCCATCCTCCCCTGTTCAGGTGTTTTAGGGAAAAATTTTGTCAGAAAAAGAAGCACAGCACAAGGAACTCTGCTTTATCAAGGCAGTGACCCAAGAGCACAGAAAGGTTCCAGCGAATGCTCCAATTACTCCCTTATAAATGTTTTGCAACAGTCATAGTAAAACTCTAGTGTCAATACCCAAAATGGCTTAAAATAAGTACTCTGAACATAAGGCTAGAGAGATGAGCTCTCTTTGTCCTTACTCTTTCTGGTCACAGGTCAATGAATGCTTCATTCAGTGCTGTCCAGGGGCCTAAGTTACACAGCTGGGATAAAAATGCTTTTCCTCATCTGAAAAATTTCAGAGCAAGCTAAAGCCCACTATTGAACACATTCCAGTAAGACAGAAGAGATATGTTGGAGTCCCTTCATTTAGACATTAAACATAATTCTTTACTGTGGATGAGCACGTGATTAATAAGATTTTATTTAAAAGAAGAATCCACTATGACCCTTTCTGCTTGAATCTTTTTGTTTGATTGCTTAAAGAACTTTGTGCTAGCATGCTCTCTGTGAAAGTTCATGGCCTGGAGATAGGCCATAGATATAAAACACACATTTCATTGGGTGTAAGACCCATGTGGTACATAACTCTCATAAAGATCTCACATATCCTTTGGTATAACCTCTAAATGGAACTTCCCAAAACCACCAGAACTGGAAAACTCCCCTGGCCATGGGGTTTTTACAGGAATAAGCAGGCATCCATGCCCATTCAACAAACATTCTGAAGACCAAAGATCTTTGATTTAGGTGACTGATTTTTCTTCGAGCCCACATCAATAGTCTACATGGAAAAAAAAGATATATTATTTGACCTACGTTTCAGTTAAAATCTCCTACTGACAATGTACCCTTAAAATAGGCTAAGAAATGCTTCCCAAGGCTTTTTAGAAATAATATCTTTCTTGAAACTTTTAAAAATAAGAACAGTACAGAAAAATGGGTGAAAATTCTCTGTGAGGAGGGGAAATTAATTAAAATCCCTTGTGAACATTTGGAGTTTGGAAAAAATATTAGTTGCCTTTCAAACAAGAGCCAGAAGGTATAGAATTATCCCAGACTTCCTATTCAAACTACCTCATTCTCTTTAAAAAGTTGTTAGCAATGTGATTTTAGTACCATAAACTATGTGAAATTAACTCTCTGTGAAGTTTTGGGGACATCATCTCTTGCAAAGCATCCAGCTGTTGTCTCCCTAACCCCCACTACTGAGGCTGCCTCTAAAGCAGGGCTGAGAAATGAGTGGGTCAGTCTTCTTTCAGTTCTTGCCTAACTGGGAGACACTAGAGTCCCTTCCTGCTAATTGGGAAGAGACAGCGTTTAGTTTGCTTCAAAGGTTGAATCAGATTACAAGATAAGCGAGCATCTGAAATGAAAAGAACTCCAGAAATTGCTACCAGTTGAGATGAAAAGGGGAGGAAAATGGCTAGAAGGAGGGAGAAGAGAAAAGAATGGAAGGAACATCATATCCTTCCACCCACATGGAATAATCTGGCCCAAACCTGCACATCCTGCATCCACTGTGTCTTATCAGTTTCCTGCGAGAACACTGGATGCTTGATGTACTTTAAAACTTTCCTCCTTTTCCTCATTATAAGACAATGGAGAGCTTAACTTTTATAAACGAGAGCACTTTATCTTCCAAACATTACAGTCGTTTCATGTCTAACAGGAGTTTAATCCCTAGTAATTAAGATAAATTACCACGTGCTTTAGCAGGTTGGGGTTAAAACTCTGAGATTTTCAACTGATTACAAAAAGGCAGCCAGTTATCAAATCCTAACTGAGTAATTCCCTACTTATTTCACTCTAGCTAATTAAAATGTAATCACGATTGTTTGGCAGTGTGCATTCTGTCAGCAGTTTTACTTTGAAAAAGAAATCCTGCCAAGAAAACACACAAAAAAGAAAAAAAAAAGCCTTTCACTATGAATTTGCTTCATCTAAACTGCCTCTTTAGCCACTGAAACTGTAAAAAAAGTAAGTTACAACCGCTTGACAAGGCAATAAAAAATGCTGACCGCTCTCCGGGATAACGAGCTATATTAATGGGTATCCTCCTTTCAGGCCATCCCGTGATGCACGGACCACGCTGACAGCGAGCGCTCCGCCGCCCCCGGCCGAGCCCCGCGGAGCAGCGGCCAGGGCAGCCCAGGGCAGCCCCTTCTCGGCTCTCTTCAACCCAAACAACTTCCTGCTGCCCTTACAACGCACACACAGCTCTCCTTTAACGCTCCTTTTTAATTTTTTTCTTTTTAGATCGGTTTATCCTTACATACTTTTGAGACCTGCCTTTAGTGCCAACGCCTTTGCCCCGAACGCAACTCCACCTTAAGCGCTCGCCCGGGCGTTCCCGGTTTCTCGCCCACCGGCAAGCCCGGGGTGAGCGAGCGGCGCGTTCCCAGCGCGGATCTGCGCTAGCCCGAAGCAACGAGGTGGCTCCGTCACACCGAGCTGGCCACCCTTGCCCAAACGGGCTGCGGCTCTGCGGAGGGAGAACGGCTAGCAGCTCGGATGGGTTTCCATCACTTGGATGAATTCGACTGGGTTTAACATTTGCGCAGCGAAGAACAGGTGGGGAAAGGGAAAGGTGCATGTGTAACTAGAAGAGGGGAAAGGACGGGCAGACACCCGCTGCTCTTGCACTAGCACCGCACTGCTTCCAGCTTTCATTTTAAGCCCCACGGGTCTCCCGCCACTTAAATTCCACTTCTCCCCCACTTTATCCCTATTTGTCCACTCCTGTTAGCCAGAGATGTGCATCTCTGTCCCAGAACAGAAAAAAGAAAAATCGTTACCGGCACCCTCACCTTCCAGGAGGTCAGAACCAAGTATTAGACGTTCACAATTATAGCTCTTAAAAAAAAAGGCTCAAACTTTCCCAGCGGGCTGGAGAAGTGAACCACCTGCGGGCGGCCGGGCGCACCGGCAGGCGGAGCCCCGCGGGATCGCCGCCGCACCGCCCGGCAGGACGAGCGCACCGCCGGCCCGGCAGCACCGTGCCGCGCCCGCCCCGCCTCCTGCACACCACCGGAGACAGCGGCCGGGAGCGCCGGGCACCTGCGGGGAGCCAGGGCACAGCGTGCCAGGAGCCCCACGACCCGCCAGAGGGGAGTCCGGCCGGCACCCACAGGCACCGACGGGGCTCGGCGCTGCCGTGCCCACCTGTCCGGCGCCTCCAGGTGCCGGCAATCCCCTGGGAGTGCGGCCCCCAAGTTCGCCAAGAGGCACCCCGGCTCCGGCAGTCCTTTCCGCCCCCACCCGCGCCCCGGGGGACACCCGCTCCCCGGCAGGCAGGGGGGTTCCCTGCGCGGTGCCATGGCCCTACCTGGAAATGCTTGAAGAAGGCGGAGATGCGGGTGATCTGCAGGCTCAGGCACCTAGAGGCGCATCTGGCCGTGGCGAACGCCTCGTCTTGCCTTCGAGCGGCGGCGGCCCCCGGCCCGTCTGGGCTGCCGCAGGCTGCCGTCACCCAGAGGAGCAGGGCGAGGGACACGCCGGGCGCCCTCCGCACCATCGCTCTGCGGGAGACGAGGGCAGAGGGGCGGCCGGGCGGCGCGGGGGGCTGCAGGCGCCGGGCTAAGCTCGCTCCCGCTCGGCGGGCTGGTGCCGGGCTGCGCCGGGGACGGACACCTCCGCGCCGCAGAAACTACACAAGAAAGTTCAATCATTCAACTCCCCTCACCCCCGTCCTCCCGCCCGCCCCGGCCCACAGCCCTCCCCCGCCGGCAGCGGGCGGGCCGATGCTGGCAGCGGCCGCGCCATTGGCTGCGCCGAGCGCCGGCGGTGGCGGGCGGGCCCCGTGCCCGCGGGCAGGCCGGGGCGGCGGGGGCAGCCGGAGCCTTCCCCGCACTCAGCAGAGTCTTCCCCGCACGCCGCCACCTGCGGGGCACGGGGCGGCCGCGGAGCTGCACGCCCTGTCCCTTACACGCAGGCGGGCTGCATGGGGGTGGCTGGGCGCCAGGGCCGCTGGTAGCCAGTCTTAACACCCTGGTTAAGTCAATTTTATTTCCTCTTATAAAAAATAATTTTAAAAAAGGACGGGGAAGCAAGAACGGGGGGAAGTCACTTTTTGAAACTCGGTGTTTCTTGCAGAGTAACGCTGCGGTGAGCGCTTGTCCCAAGGTGAAACATACACAGGCGCCTCTGAAGAGTTATTTGAAAATGAAAAAAAGTCGCTAGTCAGAATATCTCTGTGTAATAGCTGCAAAGATTAAAACAGCACCTGTAAAATGGCCCCCATACAGTAAATATCAGCCTTTCCCTCCTGCCGTCAGCTCCCGGGCCGGAGCCTGTGCCGCAGGATGTAGCACAGAGGTTACCGACCACATTCCTCTCCCTGTGCGCGCTGCATGGGCTCCTCCCGTCACAAGTATGTGCTGCTAGAAAGAGCAAGTGGATCATTTCTCACCAGAGCCTGTGGATTGAACCTCCTGAACTTGAAAATCCCACGGTTGTATGAGCTGAAATAAGTAACTTTTAGGCCGTTTTCAGGAGTTAATACTAGGTGAGTTACTATTATAAGTAGAAGTTTAGTGTGATTATCACAGCCTGTATTAAAAAGACTTCAGGATATCTTTACTGGTAGGAGTTCTAGTATAAGGTAAGTGTTCACTAGGAAAATCAACTAAAATCTCATGAAAGTCAGCATGATCTTCATTCTGGTACTAATTTTACATGGTTATGATTCTTCTATGAATGTTCTTATATATACAAATGTGAAATAGAAACATATTCTTCAATATTATTCTCACCAGACCATATGCATACACCTTTCATGCACTTATATATCAGAAATTCAAAGTATAAAAGGGTCTGCTACATCCCAAGTAGGAAATCACTTGTTAAATTATACCATTAGATTCTAGCTATAATTTTACTATCTTACCACAAAATTAAGGCACAGATTAAGAAAAGAATTCTTGTCAAAAGTATTGCTAATGTACAAATATAACAAAAAGCAAGGCACATTTTAGTTTAGATGTTACTTTGCAGTTTATGGTCTCTCTTGCCAGCTATCAGAAATCTCCACTTGAGAAAAGCCAGAAAGCCAGTCAGTCCTGCCAGTGTTACCAAATGGAGATGACAGTTTGTGCCCTTGGATGTGCGAGGGAGAGCAGCTGCTGAAAGGTGAAGTCACCTGCCACATCCTGGCACAGAAGTTGCCCTGCTGTCTGCACTGTTTACCGTACTCTGCTGGCTGTTTTGGAAATGGCCTGGTTAATCAAGGAAGACCTGCACCTCCTGAAGCCTTCCTCTTTTTTGCAGCTGGAATGGTTGCCTTTCCTCCTGTAGTGAGCAGAGATCATAAGGGATTCACAAATGCTTTTCCTAATTCTGACTGATATCTCTAGTGGTGACCAGAGAATTGGTTACTTTGCCTGATCCGGCATCTCTATATTTACGAAGTAAAAACAGCACATGACAGAACAACACAGAAATAAATTTACAGTCTTAGCAATGTTATGACAAATAGTGGTGACCCCATTCAGGCCTTAGTGTTAAGTTCAGAACTTCCCAGTTTCTAGCTGACAATCTTTTAAATCGTGTTTTTTAAGCCTTGACTAAAACTTTTGCAACCTTTTGCCTTGAGTCATGAAAAGAAAATTGCTTTGCTGATTCATAGTGTTTACAGGCACACTGAATGCATTGAACTTTTACCACAGATAATAAGAACTGCCTGAAAAAATATGTAACTTTCTGTAAATCAAATGCAAATCTATAAAGGCCAGAAAATTCAGTTGATATATCTTCTCCATATTAGTACTAATTCCTTTTATGTCATATATTATAAGCTTCAGCTTGAAGTAAAAGGGTATGAGTCCTGTTTCTTTTGTTTTATAAAGTCTGGTAGCAAAGGGCATAGAGCCCTTAATGATTAAAAAGTTAGTGAATACACAGTTTACACAGTTGCTTTTGTTTGAAAGTTCATGGTTACAGAGATCATCAGTGTAGTCACTAAATTCCTTCTCAGTAAGGGCTGACTTGGTTAGCACACAAAAGGCTGGCTGTTCACTTCCAGTAAAACTGTAGTCACACAGGTCCTGTTCCCCTATGTGGAGATTATGAAACAGGCTCAGTAGCTCAAGAATTTAGTAGGTAATTAAAACCCACTGTGGACTAAGTATCTGTTAGACCAAAAGAGTAGGTATGCAGGTTTATGCAATATGCTAATTTTAAGGACGTAAATAATTTGGCTGCAGAATAAAGGAAATTTGAAATAAATTATATATACATTTCAACCTAAATTATGTGTACATTTCAACTAACCTGTAAATATAATTATGGTCTTTAACCGGATAAATAGACGTATAGATACATTCATATGTTTTGCTCCGTCTTTTTTGTCAATAAATAACATTAAATACTCTTTTCGTGTTAAAAGTAGTAGAATTAGTGCTCGCGAATGCAGAGTATTATTTTTGTGCTAAAAATATCCGCATTGTCTCCCTGCCTGTGCTTCAGAAGAGTCTGACAATGTACAAATGAGTTTCTTTGCAAACCAGGGGCTGTTTTTTCACAGGACACAGCGCCACATGCTGGCATTGCGAGGCGAGAGCCACCGGGCGTTGCGCCGGCTTAGTTCTGGTAATGAGTTGGGTTTAATCGATTCCCAATTACGATAGCTTCATCTTAAATAATTGCTTCTTACTCTATAGGGAGCTGCCAACATCAGGTTCTCACTTCAGGAAAAAAAAAAAAAAGAGATTGTTAATGTTAAAAATATTTATTGTTTTCATATAAACCACTGTATTCTAGCTCACGGATTTAGTTTATCGTATTAAATCATCCTAATGTGCCGTTTATTACTCAATTTTCTTTAGCTTTAACTACGTTATATCAAAAATGACCGTAACTCTGGGTACAACATAATCCCCCAAACCCTCTTCAGGAACTCAGAATGCAGGGGTGCCTCTCCAAAGTGCCCGTGTACTAACGCAGGCACCCTGGGGAGTGAATACAATGAGTCAGGGATCTTCTGCAGCTGCAGGGCCATGATCTTGTCAGGATCATGGAGACATGGTGGGATGGCTCCCATGACTTTAGTGTTGCAGTGGAAGAATCAATGTCTTTTATGAAGGATGGGGTGAGGAGGGGGAGTTATCCATTATGTCAGAGGGCAGTTGAAGTGTGTGGAGCTCAGTCTGGAATGGATGAGAAGGGAGATGAGCACATAAGGGTTAGGATTAAGGAGAGGACAGCTAAAGGTGACGTTATAGTGGGTGTCTGCCCTAGGCCACCTCACTAGGAAAAGCAAATGAATGAGCCCCTGTACAAACAGATGGAAGCAGCCCCAAATTCTCAAGCCCTGGTTCTCGTGAGGGACTTCAACCACCCCGACATTAGCTAGAGGGACAAGACAGCAAAGCATAAGCAACCCAGGCACCTGAAATCTTCATACCAACATAGAGGGGCTCGTTGGGATGTGAAGGTCAAGGGCAGTCTTGGTGGCAGAGACCATGAGATGGTGGAGTTCAAAATCCTGAGGGAGGAGAGGAAAATTGAGTTCAAAATGCAGGACTTCAGCAGAGCAGACTTTGCCATCTTCAAAGATCTGTTTGGAAGAATACTATGAGGTAAGGTCTTGGAGAGAAGAGAGACTCAAGAAAGTAATTTAATATTTAAGGACCACCTTTGACAAGCTCAAAAGCAGTCTATCTCAAAGAACAGAAAGGAAAGCAAAAATGCCAGGAGAACTCTGTGGATCAACAAGGAGATCCTAGAAATACTCAGGCACAGAATGGAAGCATACAGAGTGTGGAAGCAAGGACCAGTAAGTGGGAAGAATACAGAAACATTGAGAATACAGGGAACAAGCTAAAGCTCAAATGGAATCGAATCTGCCCAGAGATTTCAAGAACAAGAAAGGCTTCTATAAATATATGGAAATTATGGGACCATTGCCTAACAAGACAAGGGACTTGATTAAACTGAATGTTTTCTTTGCCTTAGACCTTATTATCATGACCAAACTTCAGGAATGCCATTTCCAAAGGAGGGAGGTTGAAGCAAGAAAGATGCAGCCCTGTCAGAAGGGTATGAGGTCAGTGAACATAAAAGTAAACTGGACATAGATAAATCCATGTAGCCTGACACAATGCACCCACAAGTGCTGAGAGAGCTGGTAGATACCATTGTGAGGCCACTCCTGGTAATCTTTGATCACTCGCTGGGAGAAATGCCCAAAGACTGGAGAAAAGCAAATGTGACTCCTAACTTCACAAAGTGGAAGAAGGATAACCCAGGGACCTGCAGGCCAAGCAGTTTCACTTTGATCCCTGGGAAGATGATGGAGCAATTAATGCAGAAATACAATTCAAGGCACACTTCCTTAATTCTTAACATGTTCTTTAACGACCTGGCTGATGGAGCAGGTCAACAAGTTTGTTTGATGACACAAAAGAAGGAGGAATAGTTGATACACCAGTGAATTGTGCTGCCATCCAGAGGGACTTCAACAGGTTGGAAAAATGGGCTGTCAGGAACCCAGGAACCTCATGAAGTTCAACAAGGAGAAGTATAAATTCCTATTCCTGGGGAGAAAC